TCTCCTCGTTGAGCCGTATCTGTTTCCTGGCGACGCCGTACTCGTTCACCACCGAGCAGTTGTAGGCCCCGAAGTCCTGCGAGTCGGCGTCGTGGATCACTAGGATGTTGCGGAATCCTTCGTCCTGCTGGTCCTCCACGACCTCGTAGCGGGGGTCGCCTGGGGGGGAGGGGAGAAGGAGAGAGGGGGGTGGTGAGTGAGTGAGTGAGTGAGTGAGTGAGAAAAGGTGTGTGTGTGTGGGAGAGGAGGGAGGGGGGAGGGGGAAAATGAGGAAGAGGGGTGAGGGGAGAATGAGGAAGAGAGGGAGGGGGGGAGGTAGTTTTGTTGTTTGGTGGATGGGGGTTGGATAGGGTGGGTGTGGGTGTGGGGGGTGGGGAGGGTTAGGAGGGATGGGGGTATGGGGTTATGGGGGAAGGGTGAGGGGGAGGTTTTGGGGGTGGGGGAGATAATGGTTAATGGGGAGGGGGTGGAGGTGGGGGAGGGATATAATGAGGATAGGGTGGGGGAGGGGGAGGGGGAGACAATTTGGGATGGGGAGGGTGTAAGGAAGGAGTGGGGTGTATGAAGAGGGAGGAGGAGGTAGGGGTTTGAGGAGGGGGGAGGGGTGGGGGATGGGGGAAGGGGAATGGAGAGGAAATGGGGAGGGGAATTACTTATGCATAGAGAGAGATAGAGAAAGAGAAAGAGAGAAAAAAAAAGAGAAAGAAAGAAAGAAAAAAGACACACACAAAAGAAGAAACACACCAGAAACAGAAAGCCAAAAAGAAAAGAAAAGAAAAAAACATAGAAAACTAAAACAAAACAAAACCCAACCCCTTCCCCCTCCCCCCAAAAGAAAACAAAACAAAACAAATAAAAACAGACTCTCCCACTCGACAACCTGCCTTCTTTCCCTCCCCCCTCCCCGACTTTCCCCACCTCCCCCCCACCATCGAGGAGGGAAAAAAACAGACTCTCCCACTCGACAACCCCCCTCCTTTCCCTTCCCCCACTTCCGCACCCCCACCCCCACAATCGAGGAGTGCAAAAAAAAAAGAAAAGAAAAAAACAAAAACAAAAACAAAAAACCAACTCTTCCCTCCTTCCCCTTCCACTTCCCCCTTCCACTCCTCAACCTCCCCCCCCCCATCCACCACCCCACCATCGAGGAGTGAAAAAAGTCTCCCCTCCTTCCCCTCCCCCTCCCCACTTCCCCCCTTTCCACCTCCTCCCCCTTCCCTCCCCCTCCCACCTTTCCCTCCCCACCCCCCTTTCCACCCTCTCCCTTTTCCACCTTCCCTCCCCCTCCCTACATCCCTCTCCTTTCCCTCCCCTACTCCCACCCCACCTCCCCCCCTTCCCCCCCACCATCTAGGAGAGCAGGCGCGGTCGTGGCCGGAAGAACGGCGGCAGGTAATCCGGTTAACGCCTGTCTCCCCGGCCCGTTTAGTGCTCCAGCTGTGAGATGAAACCGATAGGTAAGCCTCGTTTTTTCTCTTTCTTTTTCTCTTTCTCTTCTTGCAACTTATTCTCTTTCTCTATTCTTTTTTTTTTTTTTTTTTTTTTTTTTTTTTCGTTTCGTCAGATTTTTTTTTTTTGTTATTTTTTTTTTGTTTGCGTTATTTTTTCTTCTTTCGTTTCGTCACCTCTTTCTTTTTTTTTGTTTTTTTTTATTCTTAGTTTTCTTTCTTTTTGGTTTCATTTAATTTCTTTCTTTTTCTTTTGTTATCGTCTTTATTTTTTTCTTTTTGGTTTCGTCAGATCCTTTCTCTTTCTTCTGTTTGTTTCGTAACTTCTTTCTTCTTCGTTTCTTGATTTCGTTATTTCCTTCTCTTTCTTTCTCTTCCTCCATCTCTTTCTTTGGTCATCTTCTCCTTTTTCCTTTTTTTCTTCTTTTATCATCTCCTTCTTTTTCTTCTCTTTCATTCGTCACTTTTTCCTTTTTCTGCTTTTCTTGCTTTCATCATTCTTTCGTTATCTCTTTCTCTTTCTTCTTTTTGGTTTCGTCGCCTCCTTTTTCTTCTATTTCTTTACTTCGTCATCCTCTTCTCTTCCTTCTATTTTCATCACTTCCTCTTTTTTTTTTTTTTTTTTACTTTCCTCATCTCCCTTTTTCTCTTTTTTCTCTTTGGTTTCATCATCTCTCTCTCTCTCTTCCTTCTTCTTCTCTTTCTTTGGCCTTTTTCTTTTTCTTTCTTTCATCATCTCCTCTTTTTCTTCTCGTTGGTTTTATCCCCTCCTCTCTCTTCTCCTTCTTTTTCTCTTCCTTTGGTCATCTTCTCCCTTTTCTTCTTTTTTTCTTTCATCGCCTCTTTCTCTTTCTTCTCTTTACTTCGTCTCCTCCTCTTTTAAAAATTTTCTTTGTTTTGTCACCTCTTCCTTTCTTTTCTTCTCTTTCTTTATCACTTCTTCCTCCTCTTTCTTGTCTTTATTTCATCACTTTCACCTCCTTTTTTATCTCTTTCTCATTAACTATTCCTCTTCCTTCTTCTCTTTCCTTCGTCACCTTCTCCTCCTTTTT